CCCCCCCCCCTCCCCTACCTAAGAACTCCACCTACCCGGTCTGCAGGTCCTCGAAATCTCCGTAGACCTCGGAGTCGTCGTCGTCGTCGCCATCGTCTCCGTCGCCTGCCCCGCCGCCTCCGGCACCGTTCGCTCCGTCCCCGGCCCCCCAGTCACCGGTGACGAATCTGCACAAAAAGAGAGAAAAAAAAAATGGTTGTTCTTGTCATGGCTCTTGGGTGCCAATCCTCTTCGTCGAGAGTCTTCGTCCAGAGGTTGGCCGGTACGCGACAGTCAGGCAAGGTGATCATCCAGACGTAAACCACCGACGCTGTGGAAGTGGCGGCAGTGGCCGTCGCATTTTCTGCTGCAACTGGGCGACGTTGTTTCTGTTGTCGCTTACAACTGGGGACGTGGACATCTTCGATGTTTATTCAGCTAACGGCTCGAAAGCCTGCGTCTCTGGCCTTTCCGCGTTCCCCGCCAAGAAACTAACGACAACTCAGCTCTACGGTATGTCCCCTGTGAGGCGAACCACCCGCATCCTGACGAAACCAAAGTGACAATCCCAGTACTGCTCAGCGTGCTCGTCCAGGAAACGCAACAACCCACAAGTCCAATTCTCACTTGTTTCGAATAGCTTCGATGGCGCAGTCGTCCCCGGTCCCCTCCCAGTCGTCCAACGCCTCCCGGTCCGGGCAAAACTTGGATCGGTCCCCGCCCCCGACCCCACCCCCACCCTCCTCCTCGTCGTCGTTATCCTCCGATTCGGCGTCGCCGCCACCGGAAGAAGAATGGCCTTGCCGCTTACTACCCTTGTTTCCGCCGCCGCGTATGGTGAAGAAGTGGTCGTCTTGCTCCTGATCCCCGCCTTCTTCCTCGGATGCCGAGTCCTCCCCTTCCTGCGGACCATAGCAAAAGGTTTCGGTTATTGTTTTTAGGCATGGGGTAGTGTTGTCCCGAACCCGAAACCAGATTCAACAACGCGGCAGTAAAAAAGAAGCGACGTCGGCAACTGTATCTTCAACCAACAATCACAACAACAACAACATCAACAACAACAACAACAGCAACAAACAAGCAACAAGGAACAACGGTCATGCACCTTGGCCGCGTTGTCCTCGCCTCCTCTCCCCGGCCTGCCGTACACCAGGTCTTGAAGGTTCACGTTCTGGGACTTCCGCTGCAAGAACCTTTCCGCCGCTCTCGTCGCCATGCCGCTCTTCCACGCCTGGCTCACGCCGCCGTTCTCGTCCGCATCATCATCGTCCTCAGACGGGGAGCCGTCGGAGTCGTCTGATACCACAAAGAGGAAAAAAGCAAGCGCGCGCGGGGGGGGTGGGATTAAGGCACGCAGACGTGCACTGGCGTGTGTGAACCGATCGCATCTAATGGTGTGTCCCGTCTACCGACACCGATATCGCCACGACATATGTGCTACTCATTTTCACCCACAATAGAATCGCGAGGCACCGGCAATGATACGTGGGGGCAGGGGGGTGAGGGCTGGTTGAAGCAGAGGACGAAGGCAGATTGAAACGCCACGTGTCGGGGCAAAGGGGGAAGGAAGGGATTGACCACCTCCGAGGATGGGGGGAATACAACGGCGTCAATCGTTGGATGATGCAACCACGGGCCCGCTCTTGCAAAATATTGATTGCGGATGTACACCTCGACGTTTCCGACGCATTGGTGTTTTACCGAACCAACAACGAGGAGCGTCCTCTCAGATGTTGCTATCATGCGCTTTCTCATCAAGCGTTCCGTGCGCGTGAGTTTTTTTCTTTTTTTTCACGCCTCCATGATCGCCCCCTGCAAGCTACTTCCGCATTCAACCCACTCCAAGGCAGACGTGCACCAACAAGCAATACATCGGCCTCCACCATGAAAAAGGTGACACAGGCTGGGTGCTCCAAGTGCTAAGGGCCTGCTACGCAAAGAATCACAAACGCGCGGCGGGCGAAGTATATTATATGTGTTGTCCGAAGCAAGCTTCCCCCGCCCCTTCGTCTTCGAACCTGAGTTCCAAACCGGCGTCCTCGTGCCACAAACCTTGCCGGTACCCCGTCTACTCCACCTCCTCTCCATCACTGCATGATTCCCGACGAAAAACAACAATACCTCGACAAATATTCCATGTATGTTCTTACTTCAGTAAGAGGTTGAAGAGAGAGAGGAAGAGAGAGTGAAATAGATGATTCTCTGATCCGAAAAAAATGCATCAACTTTTGCACAGAGCGCAAGGAGTGCTAATCCAAACACACCTCCGTCACGGCCGTCCTCTCCCCGCCCCTTGACGTCATCGTCGTCGTCGAATAGCGCCCTTCGACGAGTCCTGCCGCCCCCCGACCCTCCGGGGGACGCAGCCACCCTCTCTTCCCTCGGCATATTGATCTTCTTTCGCTTCTTGACGCCGCCGCCCTCGTCTTCGTCCACGGACATGGTGCCACCGTCAGAACTTCCGTCGGAACCCTCCCCAGAACTTTCCTCAGAACCATCTCCTTCCTCCCCGGAACTCTTTTCCCCGTCCTCTTCGTCTCCGGAGCTCCCTTCCTCCGAGACATCACTACCGTCGTCAGCCTCCTCCGCCGCCGCCGCGGCGGCAGCAGCTCTAGCTGCTGCGACGCTAGCCTCCTCCCCGGAGACGCCCTTCCGCCCGCTCTTTCGCCCGCCGAACAGCTTGAGCTCGCTCGCCCCCATCTTTTCGTCAACGGCCGATCTCACGTCCTGGAGCTCGCGCAGCAGTCTCGAAGAGTCCCCCGCGTCGAAGTCGCCTCCCCTCTGCGGCAACACGTTCGATGTGGGCGGGGGCGGGTCACCGAGATCGAAAAAAAACGCGCGACGCGCAGAATGCGTGCAAGGTCGGAGAAAGAACACGGGCCGTCATGGCCATTGCAATTCTTGTCGTGTAGCTCCCGAAGCAGGAGACGGCGGCACTATGGGTTGGCCCGGTCTGTTTTGGGGTTCCTCAAGCGCATAGTGCTGACCAAAGAGATGCGAATGTATCATGATTGAATTCCACGCCAGGGTGAAATTAGCAAGCGACCATTAGCTTCCAACCCATTGGCCCGCTTCATCCGAGCAGAACAACCAAGGCCACACGACGAGCACACTGTTTGTTTTCTTCACGCTACCACTCCCCCCTACCCCCCCCCGCCCCAACCATGATGGGAGATGGTGCTTACTGTGAGAAAAAACACTCCAAACGACAGCAAACAACTCCACGACACAACCTCAGAACGACTCAACGCTCGCATAGCTGCATGTCTCTCACCCCGTCCTCATATTCATCGTCACCATCATCCTCTTCCTCCTCCTCGCTGCCGCTGCCACCCCCCCCTCCCGCCGCCTCCGCCGCCCCGTCTTCCAGCAGGAGGTTCTCCTTGCGAGTGTAGTTGGCCCGCCCAATGTCGATGTACATGGCGTCTTGGTCCATCACGACGGAGCCGATGTTTGCCAGCGGCGCGTACAGCTGGCTCTCCTTCTTGTTCAGGCTCCTGTGACACCATGCCGCGGTTTTGGGAGGGCGCATGTGCGCGTTAGGGCGGATGGATGGAGGGGTCAGGGATGTAGCGAGGGGGAAGGTGCTGCTAGCAGCTACCGGGTCCCAGCACGAGGCCTCGCCTTATCTGTTCACCATTAGCATTTCCCAAAAAACACAAACCGTGGGAAAAAGCGCCGACAAATACGGCAACCACGAGCAAAGAAGGAGGACACGGACGAAGAACAGATAGAGAGAGACGCCCCCAGGCGACGTCTCGCACAGAAAGCTCCAGATTCCACGGTGAAGCAGAACAACCAACAACGCACATACCGGTTCGCCACCTTCTCCTTGGTAGGGAGGGGGCAGGGGTCCTGGAGGGCCGACACCTCTGCCATGCCGAAGTCGCCCGCGCCAATCACGTGCACGCGCTGCCCGGCTTTGAGGTGTGTGCCCCTCACGTAGCCAAACACGGCGACTTCTCGGTCGCAAGTCGGATCCTCCAAAACCTGCCGAGATGTTAAACAACACGAGGTACGACGGGACAGCCGTGTGCGTTAAGAGGCCCCGCCGGGTGTAGGGAAAACGGGAAGAATACAGTCTTCCCTGAGCTCGAACTGAAAGCGTTCTTGCTCTTCATGCGGCTTATTGTTGCACATGAACCCGTGCCTCGAATCCGTAGCCATCGGTGCCAGACACTCCCCCTTTTCCGTGCTGTCGTACATAGCACCCACGTACTTTGGGATTGTCAACCCGTCGACCGACCTCCCGTCACCATTTTCACCGTGCTCTCCAAACCTCTGTGAACGTACCTACGAACGCGACTACCCCGACAAAGAAAATAGAAAAATACGACAAAATGAAGTACACACGGTATTTCTCACGCCGGCAAACGACGTGGTTACGTCTTTCCCGAAACGAAACAAAAACGGAAACAAATCACGAAACATATTGGTATGTTCATTTACGACGGAATTCAACGCGCCAGCAATCCCCCCGCGACACCCTCCTGCCCACCTCCTTCGCCTTTGAGCTGTTGCATGCACGGAACAAATACGTATATATATATATATATATATATATATTTTTTTTTTCCCCTCGAGAAGCTTGCTTTCTCTGAGTAATCGCCCGAGGCGTCCAGCAGCACACACAAGGCCGAGACCACCACCGACACAGCAACGAACGAACGAACGACGAACCTTCTGAGGGTAAGTGATGTCCTCGTAGCGGTCGACGACCACGTAAGGGTGTGTGTTACGCCAGCGCAAGGGTCGGAACTTGGTGCGAGACAGGTACAGCGCGATGTTCCGCACCTTGTGGTGGCGAACACGACACACGGGGCGCGGACACGAGGGCGAAGAGAGAGGAAGTCGATCAAGGCAGGACGCAGTCATGCGGGTGAGTGCGTGGTAGGGGGGGGGGGTGCGATGGCGGGGAGAGGGTTCGTAGGGACGATCGGATGTGGAAGCAAAACGAATCACAGCATCAAGCGACCACTAAAGCCAATAATTGTCGGTTCTCCGACCACGTGATCAAAGGACACGTACGGCAACACCTGGCACCAGCGTCGTCCGAAACATGCCCACACGGGCAGAAACTCTCCGGGGAGACGTGTCAACGGATTTTGACACAAGCGCTTCCCTATGCCATTAGAATGTTGTTCCCTTCAACCAGACAGACCGGTTAGCTAACAAACACCAACAGCCGCTATTTAGCAGGCGTTATGCTCACACTCATCAATATAAGGTCAAAACTGGTGGGATGACCTGGGTGCACTTCGCACTGACGGTTTCGCGATAACCCACCCTTTCGCATTGGCCCATGCATGCTTGCAACACTTCGCGATCGCGAAAACGGAAAAACCGGACGTGGACACACCTCTGTCTTGGGGTACTTCCCGTTTATCTCGCCGCCCATTCCGAACACCTTGGCCCCGTTGTACACCTGTGATCGAACGGATGTGTGCGGCATTTTCCGTGAGGCTTCAACACACCAACAGCTCCGCCGTAACGGGCACGCCTGGGCCCTCGAGATAAGGAAGATTCACAAGCCGTCGTCGTGACGGTAGACGAGGGCAGCTTTCATGCGTAGGACAAAAAGAGGTACACAACCCGTGGTCGTGACGGTGAACGAGGGCAGCTTTCGTGCGTAGGACAAAAAGAGGTACACAAGACGGTGCCTCCGGGTCCTTCGATGTGAGTGACACGACAGACTCCAACCGGAAGACGAGCGTCGAATCACGGAAAAAGTAAATAAACACCACGATATTTTGTTGCTGCACAACAACGACAAAACACTTGCAACAGCAGCACCAACCTCGGTCCAGAACCTCGTCTTGAGCTTCTTCTTGGTGGCTCGGAGAGCCTTCACGTTGTCGAAGCGGTCCAGGTGGGTGAGGACGCACATCACCTTGGGAAACCCGTGCACCTGCAGTATGTTTAGGAACTCGAACGTCTCCATCTCGAACCCGAAGCTGTCGAGAGAGAGCGAGAGAGAGAGAGGCGATGGCATAGGGCCGTGGAAGGAACACGACGTGAGCACACGGGCATGGTCACATGCTGGCGTTGGTGCGGCCGCCACCGCCGCTGCTGCTGGGCGGGCTGAATTGCGCCGCCATTTCGTCAACGCCTGCTGGAAGGAAGGCTTTCCTACAACTTGAACGGGCACGACTCAGTCGAAAACGGCACACAAGGAAAAGAGGAGAGCTAGAAGGTATAGTCAGCCTTAGGAGGTTTCTGGGGCGGTTGCGAGAAGGACACTATAATACACCTACTTCATTCAAGCGGACAGTCATCCCTGCTCCACATGGCCTAGGCACAAGACTGCATGAATCGCTCCATTGGCTGGTTCGCTTAAAATATCGCCTCCCCGTGCATTGTCATAGAATCCAGGCACCCTTGTAACGCAGACAACGCAGCACATATGCACACCTCAACCTCAACCCATCCCGACCGCAACATTAGCAACGACACACCAACAGCTCCTGTTAGCAGTGTGCTCGCCCCTCCCGTCCAGTCGAGTATCCAATATCACCCCCACCACCGGCGCCAGTAACAACAAACGACTACTTCTACTACTTGCGACCATGGCGCTGACGAAGCAAGGCCACCGGACGACTACTGTAGCAACACCGGTGTGGTGTCCGTCCGCTGAAAAAACTCAGCGGGTCGTCTTGTACCAACCATGAGCGGTGTTCCTGCGCGCTTCTTCTGCTCCGCTCACCTGCCGTCGACGACGAGGAGAACGAGGTCCGCCACCTTGGCGAGGTCCACCATGCCGCAGAGGTCGTCGGGGCACTCCTGGAAGGTTATCCTCCTGTTCTTGCCGCTAACCACCGTGATCGGACCCGTCGACTCCTTTAGGTTATGCCCTGCAAACAAATGCGCGAGAACACCCCCCACACCAATAACAACCAATAGTCAAACGGTAGAGCGTGGTGTTAAATACGGGACGCCTTGGGGCAGGCAAAGGAGGAAGAATGCCGGGGGCGTTGACCGACATGCGCGGTCGGCGCTAGAGGATCCCACACGCCTCTTCCCGTCAAGACTCCCCGTTCCCCGACACTCCGCCACCAATCAGCGACGCCGTGCGATGAACTGTTCGAGAGAGAGCGATAACCACGTCGAAAGAGACGGTCTTGAAACGGACCAACCGTCCCCGTTCCCCCGCGAACGCTGCTAACCCCTTGCCCGCTTAGGCTCCAGCCATCACCGGGCCTCTTCGCCTTTGTGCGTATGCAATATCCGATCAGGAGATTGTTCGCACGGCGGGTGACCAACGACGTGCTCTCGACTCAAACACGCGGCCGACAGAAAACACGGAACCCAGCACAATAGCCTTCCGCACTAGGCGGCGGAAGCGCGGCAACGCCCCGATCAACCGCTTCAACGCCCCTCCCACCCCCGCTGGTACCCTTCCCGCCAGTCAGCACGAAGCCCCTGCCGAACCCCGGCGTGGCGGTGTGCATCCCTCACCCGTGTAAAGCTTAATCAGAGACCGAATGAGGGTAGTCTTGCCGGATCCTCGGGGTCCCATGACGACAACCATCACGGGCGGCGGGACTTCTTCCGCGCGGTCAACCTGTTCACAGAAGAAAAAAAAACACGCCGAATGCGCGCCGCTGCGTATTGCGCCTGCTGCTGGCATGGAGAATGGTTCAAAGCGCAAACTCAATAGTTTTGGGGAGCGATATGTAATGCCTATTTTTAGCTGTTTCGTTTGAGAACCGGGATCGGCGCTGCACACTTGCAGTAGAGACGACGAGCACAAGACCAGACAAGACCGGGGTGGGGCTGAAATCCAAGGAAAGATGGAGAACGGCAAAAACGGCATGTGCGGATGTCTGAAAAAAGCAACGTGCATGAATGATATGGAGAAGCTTTTACTGGGGGGCTGGTGGGTAGAGGAATAGAGGGATAAGGTTACCCCTCCGAAACCTCCATCGTCAAAAGTAAGCTTCCCACCCCTGATGCTACTCAGTAGACGACCACCGTCAAACTAAGGCGTGCAATCGTTCAGCGTACCTAACAACCGCCATTTGCCGCAGATCCAATCACCCTCTCACCTGCGGGACGACCTCCTTCCGCTGTGCACGGTCGAGGTTCCTCTGCTGGGTCTTGCGGGTCTTGCCGATCTTCGACACGGAGAACGCCCTAGGGTTGTGCCTCTCCACCTGATATTCCCAACATTTTCAAAGCAGGGGAACATCGGCACCAAGACAGAGCTCAGCAGAGCTCACGGCAGTGAGCGTTCTACCCCTTTGGCAGCCACTGGCGCGAGCAGGGCGGTGCTGTACGTCGCGAAGCAGACCGCAAGAGTTGGAAGGTACTACTGTAGAGCAGAGCTCAGCAGAATTCACGGCGGAAGGCCTCTACCGTCTAGACAGAGCAACTGGAATCGTGCGGAGCAGTGTTGAAAGACACGAATGGCGGAGAGGTATCGAGAGAGGGATGGCAGACAAGACCCATAGCAAGGTGGGACGTAGTTGGGATACAAAACAAGGCATATTATTGACACACCTTTCCCCCCTTCTCCTTCTTTTTGTTGGCCTTGGCGCCGGACTTGGACGTGCGGTGCGGCTTCTTGGCATCCTTCGTGAGAGACAGTGCGTCCGACATGATGACTACCGCGCTTGAAGCCGTCTGGTGCCCAAATCAACAGCAGCGAGGGCAGTGTTTCGAGGGTTTCGTCCACTCCCTCGTTTGCTGCTGCTTCCCCGCGCCGCCGTTGTTTGCTCCTGACGGGTGAGGGGGGAGCAAGCAGAATCACAATCGTCGCGCATGAACACGAATACTTGAATCGTGATACCGAAGATGTAGCCGTGAATATGTCCCGGAGGTTACTGATATCTACATGTTTTCCAACCGTCCATATTATCACTGGGAAAAAACGGTGACCAAAAAGCGTCTCGTCCACCTGTGGTAAAGCCCTCAACGCTCCTGAAGAGTCTGGCTATATCCGGACGTTACCGATCATATTCGGGTTTCTCACTACAAGGCTGTCCTCTCGCCAGCCAAGGCGTGAACCGGGTGGGCGAGAATACAACAAGAGGATGGGACCAACCAGAGATTCGACAAAGCACGCCAATCCCAACGTTGCAAATGCAGAAATGCGCCAGAACGCTGCCCTACACACGGAATACTGACAACGATTGTTCGTACTGGCAACAGCAGGTGGATAGGGGAATCGAACGGACGGGGGGGGAGGGGTGTACTCATAGCCGTGCATGCCGTAGTCGTTAGACCATTGACCTCGCATCCCTACAAAGCCGGGACGGAGCACGCCGGGTTCTCACCGGACCAGGCTCTCACATCACCAAGCGCGAAGCGCCGTGAGATATTCGGCGAGACGCATGAAGGGTGCGCTGCATCCTGCTAAGGGCGTTCGGCATCTTGTGCTTATTTCCTTGCGTACGGATGACAGCTGCGTATGACTTAATATATTTTATGGTGCTTTCACTTCCAGAGACAGTTGTGATCACTGTGTAACTGCCTCGAGCGTGCTTGACCATTTTAACACAACGTGGTGCGATCATCCCCCTTGCGCGGAG